AACTTCAGATATATTTTCATTTTTATTTGTATTTTTTTTAAAATAATGATTTACTATTTAAATAAAGAATTTGTAAAAAAATTTTTTTTAATAAATTTAAATAATTTTTTTAAATTTTTTTTTATATGCTATTTGATATACTATACAAATAAAGAATTTGTAAACTAATTTCATTTGTAATATTAATGTAATATGAGAAAGTTTAATTATTCTCGTATAAACTCGATTAATTTAAATTATCAGTAAAAAACATGTAAAAATGTGTGCTTCATTAAAATTGAAAAATTTTTCATTAAGGTAATTTGGTATATATTTATTTTTTTTCTAATCAAAATCACTCAACGACAACATCTTTTAATACAAAACTGTATTTATATATATTTATATGTAAAAGTTATAGCATACATATTTGTATATATAGTCGAGTATTATCGTAAAGTCTTATGAGCGCAGATTGATAACATTTAGCAACATTTTTATGATTACTCACTTATGTTTACTCTTCCCCCTTTTTTGTATATGAAACACTATATTTAATTAAAAGACTATTAATTTAATACCTGACTATAAAAATTAATTAAAAACATTTAGTGAGTAAATAATTCAAAGGAAAAAAGTCGTGGCTAAAGCTGCCCATTTTTGCATAGTCGGCGCTGCGTGCAAGAATTGTGCGTGGCGGCGACATAACAACAAAAACTGTGCCATTTTCTATGTTATTTTAATTGTCATATTGTGCGTATAACATAGAAAAATGTATGTGTATGTGCAGTACAATTCATTGTATTTTTCTATTATTATTATTTTTTTTTTAAATAAATGTTTAAATTAAGCATTTAATTTTAAATTCTTTCTATTTGTATGTCTGCAAAATCGTCGTCATCGTCGCCAATTCTTCATACTTTTTTTTTTTTATTTATATTTGCTCATCACATGTATGTTTGGTATGTCCCGGCTTCTTATTCTTTAACTTTCTCTTTGTATACTATTATTTTATTATTTATTTTTTATTTCGATTTTAATATTCTATTTTCTTTTATAGTTCAAATTTTTGTTTCTGTTTTATTATTATTATTTCTTTTTTTTTTTTTCATATACAAACAGTCAGACATAAAAGTCTATATTTATTTATCTACAATTTGGCCTGACGCTCGTGCAAGTCGAATCAAATCGAGTAACGTATCATTTCATTATATATCTCCATATATATATATAAATATAATAAAAAAAAAATATAAATAGTTGTGTTTAAATTACAAAAATACAAAATTTCTACTGCACGTTTACTATATCGGCCAGCGGTTTGTGGTGGGAAGGGAGGGCCGTTCGCTTTTTTGGTAGCTCGCTTTGCTAAAAGATATGCAGAAAATTTTGCTTGTATTCGCTGTTGCTATGCGGAAAGAAAATTAAGTGTGTCGTGCGGCAATGGTAACGGCAAGAAAGTAGCAAACAGGCGGCAGGCAAGCAGGCGAAGGGCAACAATAACGGACAGGCGTATGCCGCATGTGTTAGCATTTCTTCTCAACAATCTACAAAACTATAACATCACACACGCACACACATACAAAGTCACTCTCACTTTACTATGTTGCGTAGTGTTGTGTTGTGTTGCCTGCATGCCCCCTCAAGCACACACACATACGCTGTTAGTATTTTATCAGCAGCATTTCTCCACTGTTGGTTGGGGGTTACGTATTTAAATTTTTTTTCTACTTGCTGCGATATTGTTACTTATACGTGGGGGTGGTTTTACTTGCGCTCGTGTCTGATAATAATAATGTGTTTTTTTTTTCGTTTATTATTTATAAAAATTATATGAAAAATCTGCGTTTGTATATTAGCTATGTATCTTTTCTTGAAATATAAACATTATTAATTAGTTGAAATATTTCTACGTCTTTTATTGTATATTATTTTTTTTCTTTGATTTTTGTGTAAATTACGTCAAGAAATTGTTTGCAAAAATTCTTTTATATGTCTTAATTGAGTTTTATTCAATTTTTTTTTGTACTACTTTTAATATAATTTCCCTGCATATTATGTCCTAGAAAAGCAGTGAAATTGAATTTAAATCAATTGTTTTTCGCCTCTAATTCTCTTTTGTACTAGTTTTCATAGCAATTACTACGAGTATTTCCTCTTCCTATGTTCTGCATTTAGTAATGATTACTTCAACATTAATATGTTTGCCAACTTTATGATGATTATAAAAATTTTCCTTATTTATTAGTATCTATAAAAACAAATTTTATAGACTTTGCATTACTTTTCAGCTTTTATTATGTTGAATTGTATACGCTAATTTGCGTGAGATAAGGTGCTTTAGCTGCTACATAAAGACTAACTTCAATTGAATGGTTGGCTATGAAACTGTTTAAGTATCAATAAAAACATGTATATTTAACAGTGTAAAAATGTAGTAATTTGTCAAATCGATTTTATATATAATCATTAATGATTGCAAAAGTAATTTGAAGATACTTTTTTTAGTACTTGTTTTGAATTTTCTAATTATTATATATGTCAAGGTAATTTTGTGATATTTCAGAATTTTTTAAAAAGATATTGCAGACAGAGTAATTTGATTTTAAAATTAAGATATTATTTATATTATTATTATTATATTAAATTATATTATATTAAATTAAGATATTATTTATATTAATTTATTATTAAATTGTATTATATTAAATTAAGATATTATTTATATTATTATTCTATTAAATTATATTATATATAATTAAGATATTATTTAAATTATTATTATATAAAATTATATTACATTAAATTAAAATATCATTATTTAACTAAACTAAAAATAAACTACAACATATTTTTTATTACAAGAGTACAAGAATGAACTCTTAAACAAAAATATATGAAAAATAAAATATGAAAAATAATTCTTAGTCCATTTAATTTTACATTACAACAATCACAACGAATCAATTTATTATTTATTTTATGCATTTTGTTTTTGTTTCCTGATTTTTAACATTTAACTTGTGGGCTAAAAACAAAATATAAATCAAAAAAAAAAAAATTGCTATGAAGAAAAAGCCTGCCTGCATGTCTTTACCTTACCTTACGTTTTACATTAATGACAAATGTCTGTAATAGCGTAAAGCACATCACATTACGCCACAAAGCGCAGCAGAAGTCAACGTCATCAAATAGCACATTTTTAATCGGATTTAAAATAATTTCTTCACACTGTCGTGTAAACTTCACACACACATATACACATACATAGACTGCATTGCAGTCGTCCACTTCAAAACACTCAGTTGAACATAGCACGAAGACGTTTGACGATTGTGTGACTGCAGCAGCATTGCAAACATTCTTAAAATGCCGTTGCCAAATGCAGCGCCGCCATGCTACTTTAAAGCTTTAAAAAAAGTTAGTAATTACTTAACATTCCCATACAGCAGCTCTATTGCTACATATATATGCGAGCATACAAATTATTTACAAACAGTAGAGAGCTTTAATTTCTATTAATAAAATTGTATAAGTTTGCAGGCTGTAGGCTGTATTTTGTGTGGTTTTCTTTTGTTGGTGTGTGTGTGTGTCTGTGTGTGCTTTAGTACTGCGAAGGAGTTAGGGATTTCTGTTCAATAAATAAATAGGAAAAAAAACGAGAATAATAAACATTAGCGTGTAGGTGCGCTGCTGCCTGCTTGTACTTCGATTACATCAGTGCATGTACTTGATGACGACAACAATATCATCATGCCATTCACTCCACTTTACTATTAGTTCCTTCTTTACTATTAATATATTTACTCTGCCTGCCGTAAGTATGATGATGACATAATGCAAAATCATAGAATGTAAGTGGGTGGTTTGGTTTGGTGGGGGTGAAGTGAGGTTTTGTATTCGCTAGAAATACAGTGTATAGGCAGAAGCGGTAAGGAGTATGTCAATGGTAAATGAGAGTAGTAGGGTGGGTGGGTGATGGTTGCTACATATAACATATTTAGTTGATCGTTTAACTTGTAGTTTTTGGTTAACTAGTTTTGCGGTTGTTGTTCTTGTATTTCGTTAGTTCATAAATTTATATTTATGCTTTATGTTGTAAAAAACCAACTAATAGCTTACAGCTGAAAATAAAAAATAAAAAATAGAAAAAAAATTGAAGAAAAGGAAAGAAAAAGTAGTTAGAGATGTTTTGGTGGGAGTGATTTCGTGCTTTGTTGGGAGGCATTTGTTACTGAATGGTGTGATGTTGAGTGCTTTTGAGTGCAGATAAAGGAAACAAAAAAAATTACAATAACAACTAAAGCATTGACATTTTATATTTTATGCCTTACACGCGCGTCTTTTTATTTTTGCAAAGGCTCTAATAATTGCTGTTGTTGTTGTTACTGCGATTCGGTTTTTTCTCTAATTGGTTTGAGTGAGTCATTTTGTTGCTAATGGTTGAATAGAGGGTGGCGTAGGGTTTTAAATATAACCAACTAATTTATTATTGTATTTACAAATGTAAGTAGGATTTGCATGATTTCAAAATTTTATGTTAACGTTTTGTTTTTGTTACCATTAAAAAGCATTTATAAAACTGTTCTGCTTTGAATGGTAGGTTTTTGTTTATTTTATTTATTTTTTTTCTTGTCATCTTTTATACCTATTATTAGTACAACTAAGGTCTAATATGAAAAAATTTTATTTATGTTTAGTATTATAAATAATGGCGCCAAGAATCTGTTTTTGATTTATTTGTTGTGCTATTTATTTATGACTTTTTTTTGCAATGGCAACCTTAGCAACAAAATAGACCGACGCTGTTTAACAGAGTCAAGTAGGTGGAGAAATGATTAAATAAAAAAATTACATATCTACAGATATGTTAATGATTTCTTTTTTTTTTCCTAAGTAATATACAAATAATTAAACAGCTAAATAAATAATAACACACAAAAAAATGAAAACAATAGATTTCTTTCTAAAAATATCTTCGTTATTTTAATTAATTTCTCTTTCTTCTTTTTTAATTTTAGATGAAGAAATTGATGTCGTTACAATTGGTGATAAAAAATTACCTACAAATCCTTCCGATAAGGATCGTCGCGCGTTACAAAATAAAGTTGCATACAAAATCTCAAATCGTATGGTGAAAACAGTAAACGGTCTCAGAACAATACCACCACGTCGTAGCGGTTCTGTTGAATATCCCTATACACCAGCAAGCAGTAACAGTCCAGTCAAATCACTGGCTAATTCACGTTACCCTTCACAACTGCTTATGACTGTACTCTCCGATGGTACTACTGCACCTATTAATATCATTAACGATAAAACACGCAAACGTGTAAATGGTAATGTTTTGATCAATACATCAAACAATGCTGACTACTCATTACCACCTAATAAAAAATATCGTGGTAAGAAGTCAAAGAACGGTAGTGTCAGCACAACGACGACAAGCATTAATGGTACTGCCAATGGTGCGCTCAGACGTCATTATAGTTTGGATGAAGCTGCCGATACAATTGAGAAACGTAATTTACATAACGATATGGAACGTCAACGTCGTATTGGCTTAAAGAATTTATTCGAAGCTCTGAAGAAACAAATACCAAGCATTAAAGATAAAGAGCGTGCCCCAAAAGTGAATATACTACGTGAAGCAGCAAAATTGTGTGATGCGCTGGTGGTAGAAGATAGACGACTCGCAGAGCAACGTGCAGTTTTAATGGAACAGTTGAAAAAGCGTCAGGAGCAAAAGTTAATTTTGTTAGAACAACTGAGAAAGCGACACGATTTAAAACCACATCTCATCATACATCGGGATTGATAACAGATCAGTGAAAAAAATGCTGAATTAGAAGTAAGTGCAGTTTTCAAACTCGAAGAGCTTAAGTTAAATATGAAGAAGAAGAAAAGAAAACGATAATGAAGTTAACTATTACTATGTATTGTATAAATAATATTTGTAAATATATATAGATATATATAGAATATAAAATGTAAATATCATGAATGAAGGTCCCGGGGAAATAAGATTAGCAGCGGCAGGATCGCCACATGAGCTTTTAGTTAAGTTTAATAAACGTTGAAGTTATGCAAAACTTAAGAAGGACAAAATAATTTTTAATAAACTTTTTACTATGTATAAATTTTGTATAACTTTTATGATGTAAATTACTTGATTTTGTTTAAATTTGATTTTGCTTTTAAATAAATAAAGAACATGAAATTTTGACAATTGATCAACAAAAAATTAATAAATTGATACATTTATTGTACATAAAGTGTAACTATTATAATATTTAACTTTCAACCGTTGTTCTTTTATAATTAGTTAATAAGTTTAACTTGAACTTCAATATTTTATCATTTATATATTGGATATATTTAACATAAAGGTATAGAATTGATAAATAATGTAAGCAACTACATATTATATGTATATAAATAATTAAGAGCGACTATATTCAGTAAATAACGAAATTAGAATTATAAGGAACTAAGAAATTGAATAATAATTTAGTGGTAAATAATATCGTTTAATCCATAAGGTATATAGTTCTATTAGATTGCTATGCTTATATTAATTATAGTTAAGGGTTAGAAAATTATTGATTATTTTAATTTTGTGATACTTGAAATGCGCGAAAAAGAAACAGATATAGCTTATAAAGCGAGAAAAATGTACTATAGCTTATTCGCTTAATAAACTAAACCCATTTGTTCGTAATAGACGAACATACACTGCGAGAAAAATTAGATTGGCAAGTCTTTTAAAAGCACTTGCAGAAAAATTTGAAGTTAAAAAATTGTATTTCGTAATAATAATTCTATATAGAAAACTATATATTTTTATTATATTATTTGAAAAAAAAAAAGTGGAAAAAGATACATGAAGAAAAGAATTTTTGAAACGTTTGAACGTAATTTTGAGCAACGAAAGAGCAACGCATCGTAATGGAAAACAAATGAAAATATTAAGTAATGAAGATGAGAATTGTAAATGTAACGTATTTTTGCCGGTTTAAAAAAACGTCTACCAATTCTCTGCATACACACTTTTTTTATTTAATATTTGTGGAAAATGTTTTAAAAACTTATAAGAACAATTTTTTTAAAACATAAAAAAAATTATATTATTTTTCTAATGATAAACAAATATGAATATTGATTTCTTTTTTCTTCCGTTATATATATATTTATATTTTTTATTATAATTATTATTATACACACTAGTTATATAAAGAAAATATAATTAAAATATTTAAAAGTAACTTATGTAATTAATTTTACTAATTGGATTTTTAATATATATTTATTATATATATATTATTTATATTTATAATAGTTTCGAAATAAATTTTAACTTATGTCTTATAGGACATATATTGTTCTACAAGTATATATTTACTTACAAATATATTTGCCTTAATTTTTTTTATATATATATTATTAATATTATTAAAGATTTTGTTTGAAGTATAAAAAAATTTGTTACACTTTTTACTTTTTATTACTATTATTATTATTATTATAATTATGATTATAAATATTAAATTGTTTTGCTTTTTATATGCTTTAAAAAAACCTATACATAAACTTACTATATATGCATATATATATCAGAATACGGCTATATATGTAGGTCAATACAAAATATATAATTATTCATATATAACTATATATATTCATATATTTTTAAAATACACTAAAAAATCCAAATATTTTTTACTAAAACACAACTAAAAATACAAATACAAATTAAACAAAAAAAAAGTTGGAAAGTAGTGGTTGGCAACACTGGAGCGTCAGTGTTATTTTTACTGGTTCTTTTGTGTTTTCGCAAAAGAAAAACTATTTTTCAACTGATTAACTGTCGATGTTTTTTATGCTATTAAGATAAATTTAACTTTTTTTTAAATATAATATATACATATATATACATACATAAATATATACTATACATATAGTTATATGCTTTAAGTACATAACATACATATTTATATTTATGAAAATACATATGTAAGGAGACATATAACTAATAAAAATTGTATACATACATATGTATAAGTTTAAAGTTAAATAAAATGTATATATGAAGTTACTATTTTGTCTCTGAATTATTGCGTTTGGAATTAAAGTTTGATATATTATTAATTATTATAAATTAGACTAAGTAACAATTATGAATTGAATTATATTTATGTAGAAATAAACGTTAAGCATTATATCTAAATTAATATTAAATAAAAGAAAAACACAAGTGTAGGTGTTAAACTAAATAGTAAAAATATAAAGAAGTTTTTCACTTTATTTTTTGCAGTGTACATCTGCTTGCAACACTTTAAACAAAGTGAAACAAAACAAAATATGCTTATAGGTTTCAATAGGCTTTTTTTAAAAAAATAATAATAATGTATACAGCAAGCAGCATAATTTATTGTTTACTAAGCAATAGATATCAAGTCAATTATTGACTTTTTTACAGTGTAGCGGTTGCTGTTGTCATTCAGTGAACAGTGAAAAAAATAAAGAAATTTTTTTTTATTATGAAGTACACCTCGCCGTTATTTTTATTTAAAAATAATTAAATTTCAGTTTTGGATATTTATGTATATAGCATTTATATAAGCTAATAAAAAAATTAAATATTATATATCAATATATATATATATAAATTTATTATGTATAACTAACAAAAAAAATGCTGTAATTTAAAAACTATAAGTCTTTCATTATATATAAATATTTTTTTAGAACTTATTAACATATAATTATAATTAATTATTATATTATACTTATAAATATATATAATATAAAGAGAGTAAATTTGAAGAAAAAAGAAAGCATAATAATATATAACTTTAATTTTTTTTTTGTAATGTAAATAGTAATCTCGGTTTTATAAAATACTTTATTTTTGAAATAATTTTCTTTCAATTACAACGCATTCAGCAACAAAAGAAATAGTCCATAGCAATCAAGCAATAACTGTTGATATTAAATAGATTTTTCCTACACAGAAACACCGCAGAGATACAAAATCATGCATATACACTGTAAAAAACATAAACACACATTCACCAAACAACAATATATAAGTCAGTTAAAGAAAAAAATATAAACAACAAAAAATGCAAATTTATTTAGAATTTAAATCCCACAAACCGTTCCTATTCCTCGTAAAAATTAAAGTTAACATTTTTATTATATATTAATTTTTATTTTTTTTATTTTTTATAATAGTTTTCGTTTTTAATACTTTACAATATATACAAATAGTACATAGCTAGCAAAAACAAAAAAAAAAGGAAAAACTGAAAACTCTAAAGGAACCGAAATAATTAAGCAACCAAGACCTCTTAACCCTCGCAATGAACTTTTCAGCTTATATATAGTTTTTTATTTTAACTTGAAAAGTTTATTTATATATTTTTTTACACACTTAAAATAGTAAACTTAAGTTTTTTTTAGACAAAACAAAAAAAAAAAAGAACATAGAAAAATAAAAAAAATTGTAAACATTTTTTATGCAACAAAAAAAAAATACAAAAAATATATTTATCTATATACATACACAAAAAAAATATATTTAGAAAATGTTGAAATATAGAAAAGAAATCACTCATTGAATTGAAAATGCAACACTTATATAAAAGAAATTTTTTTTAATTTTGAAAACATATAAGAAAAATTAAACTTAAATTTTGACGTTTACAGAAGCAAAGAAACATTTTATATTGAATTATTTTATTTTTACACATAATTTTTATTATATATAATTTATAAATACATAACTTTTTATTTGTACCATAACGAATTCATTTTTTGAATTAAAAAAAAAACAAAACGAATTGAAAAAAGAAATACCAAACAAGAAATATAAAATTTGTATATTTTCGCTCAATTTTATTTTTTTTTTATATAAAAAAATAAATATTATTTTTATTAAAATATTACTGATATGAAGTAAAAAAAAAAACTATACAAAAAGAAATTGATAAAGACAAATACAACAACAAATACAATAACAATAATTTAAAAATATTTTTGCTATAACTATTACTACTTTATATATATACATATATAAATAAAAATAAACCAGCATATATTATTATGTCTATGATTTAATAAAATTTATGTTTCATTTAATTATTAATTTTTTTTTTATTATATATTTTTATTTTTATGAAGACTGTTTGTACACAAAACGAAAGAAAATTGTTGATAAATAAAAATTGAAATTTTTGAAATTTAAAAAAAAAACAAAACGTAAATAATGTGCATTTTTATTTATTTTTTTTCATTTTCAGGTTATATATTCCAATATTTTTTTTAGTCTTTTTTTGTGTTTTTAATATTGTTATGACAATATTTTATTTATTCACTATTTTTAAAATAATTTTTTTTTAATTTTTTATTTAATTATTTTTTTAATTTTTTTTTATTTCTATGTTTTTTATTTCGATATACATATATTTTTTTTTTTCGATGTCATTTTTTTTGTTACTATTATAATTTAATTTTTTTATTTAATATTTTTGTTTTGTTAAAATTTGTTTAAATTTTTTTTTTTTATTTTATTAAAAAAATTTATTTTAAAATTTTCTTCTCTGTTAGGTTATTTTTCGAATTTTCCAAATCTTTTTCATACATTCGTTATGATCTTATGATTAGCACTCAGTAAAGTAGTCTCATTCGATTATTAAAAAGTAATCATCTTATATCGACCACAACTACTGAAGATATTAACATTTATTGACGTTTGTTTGAATTTGAAAGTCACATCTTAGTAGGTAATATTGAAGACCTACAAGTTAAAAAAAGAGTCGAGAAAGGATTATAACATTTGTAGATGCATCGAATAGCTATTCACGTTTGATATGTTGTTAGAGATTTATTAAGCAGATAACATGAAATGAATTGCAAAGACGTGTACATGGATTAGGATGTGAATAGGTGAAGGTAGTATGAGAGGAGAAAGAATTATTTGGAATTAAGAATGGATTAGGTATGGATGGGAATAAATTTGCTGTTTACAAATGATCTCAAAGATCGAAATGAAATGCTATTTGTACTTCAGTATTATAAAAACAAATGAAAGTTTCAATTAGAGCACAAAAGTTTTAAAAATTATGTGTCTTATTTAAAACTGAAACCTACTAAACCAAGGCTTACATATGTAAACTGCTTGGAAAACATATGTGTCATTGCCATAAAGATTGGCATAGCAAATTACAATACCTAAAGAAAAATAGACAAGTGATATGCTAAAAATTAGAAATGCATCGCTTGTGGCATGACAACGTCCAATAAATACGGAATGAAGAGAGTAGACCTGTAACGAAAAATTAACAGGTTATTAAATTGTAGTAGTGTGATTCCGAACAACAAAAGAGAATACCTAATTGTTTTTTTCGAAAATATAATAATAATAAAAACAAAGTAGAATTTTGTGTGTTGGTAGACAGGTAAACTAAAAGCAAGTTTCATACATTAACTCAAAATGGAGAGATTTTCAAGTTGTGCCTTGAAGAAGGAGTGCGATATGTATAAAAAAAGTCTATCGATTCATTTCATGTGGTTCCAGCTTCCCTCTTTTGGCTAAGTTTGCGCATAAAATTTATTCTAAAATAATTATATTTTAGAATAAATTGCCTGCCGTTCGAACAGTTTTGAGTTTCAGTATTATCTATAAAATAATTGAATTGTTAAATAATTGTATATATATAGTGTATATTCAAGGTCCTTTGCTTTTTAAAGAGTTAAAAGAAACAATGAATAATTACGATATCTGATTTCTTTAAATATATAGATACACTATAAAGTTTTACAAATTGCTAAAAAATAATTATATATTTTTTTTTAATTTTTGTTATTTGTTTTAAAATATAAACATTTATTGCAAACATTTTCTTGACTTCTCATATTAAAAGTACGTATATACATAATTTTTTACAAATGAAAATGTTTATAGTTCATTTATTTCCTTTGTTCTTGTATGTATCTGTTTTTGGTGCTGTTAACTGTCAGTTTGATTTTTGTTTATTAAAAAAGAAAGCCAAAGCCAAAAATTCAATTAATTAAAATAGTA